GGGGGGAGGGGGTTGTTTTCAAGATGGCAACCACCCCTTCCCAAAAAGGAGTACTTTCAGAGGCAAGGGGTAGGATTTCCAGAGGCAGAGGTCAGGGGGCAGGACTTTTGGTTCCAAGATGGCGACCAAGGGTGGGGCTACCCTTGCAGCCCTCCACAGCTCACCAAAACTCGTTAGGCAGCCTTCCAGCCAAAATAATTACCCATCCCTGGTCTAACATCTCTCTTAAGTCCAAGTCCTAGTCCAATGCCTTAACTATAAAACTTAAGTTCAAAAAACTAAATCTGAATCTAAAGGAAATATGACATTGGCGGAACAGTCATGTAATTGTTCCAGGTTCTCCAAAAGGCAAGAAACTGGAGCTAAAAAAGGAAAAAAAAAAGTCATTTATTACTGACTAACTGGTTTAATGGGGTCCTACACAAGCATAAAGCTGAAAAATCAAATTAACATAAAATAACCTTTTACAAAATGTAAAACGTACTTTGAGTGTTTAACAAAAGCTAAATTTATTGTTCCCTTAATCCCAGCTTTGGAATTTACAAACTAATCTCAACCTAACAAGTAAACTAAACTAGTATCATAATTAGCACCAACTGAAACTGGTATAAAAATATATTATCAGTATCTCAGATCCTTATGTCCAATGGTAATAGCTCAATTAAAAAAAAAAATGAACAGGTGGATCATTATTCTCTCTTTAGCCAAAAAGGTTTTTAAACCAAGTTTAATGCAAAGGAGCAAGTAAAATTTCCTTTTTTCAAATATTTTCACTCTTAAACTGCAGTAGTTTGGGTTTATTTTTGGCAAGCAGATTTTTCTGAGTAGGTAAGAAACCTAAACTGATCTTTTAAGGATGGCTTCATACCTATGAAGCATTACTTTCCATGGGAACAATCCTTGTGCTGATGCCATCTCTTGGACTTCATAGCGTTGACAAAGCAGTTGCTATTGTAGAAGGATAAAGAATGACACACAGCCAACTATTCAAGTGGTAAAAGACAGGACAGTTTTAGCTGCAGTGTGTTACATAGTCTAATGCAGCGAGAAGGTCAAGGCAGGGGGAGGGGCAGATTGCAGAAGCACCAAAGTAACAGAATTACAGGAGAGCCTGACCTTGAAAACTCAAGGGGAAACCAAAGATAACCCTGAATTGAGAAATTCAGTGACCAGAACTTCGAAGACGGTGAAAAAACAAAACTTTGCAACAAGAAATGCACTTCTGCCTGACATAGTATTTGAAAAGCCTGTTAACGTGGAGATCCTCAAGAAAGTTAAAGCAAATCAAATAAGTCTGTGAATTTACTACATGAAGTTAAGATACAAAATAAGGCCACTTTACTTCTGATTGCCTACCTCCAAACCAGAGCTTAACGCACTTCGCCCGGAGTATATTAATTCACACCTCTGGTTGAGTCATCTTAATTTTGCTGAGTGCTCCTGTGTAAGTAAACCCTTCAATTCAATCAGAAAGTTTAAAGGTATTATTTCCAAAGCCAGGGAAACTGAGGTATACTAGAAGTGCTGTAAACAAAGCTTTAACCACGGCCGCCTGGCATCACTTAAAATTATTATATACAGGAAGCAGTTTGAACCTGAAGGCTCAGAAGGACAAAAAATTACCATGCAATTAATACAATCTTCATGGTAGATTGCCAACTGATTCAACATGCTCTTTAAATCAAGCAGATGATGTTTGAACAGTCTTTATAAAACATTAATATCAACATTACATAAAAGTTGGTTACTTACAACTTCATATTTTTTTTTCCACCCAAAATCTGGCTAAACTTCAGGTGAAGACAATGCCCATAAGTACGTGGTTCTCAAAAACTTTTTTTTTTTTTTTTTTTTTGCAGACCACTTGAAAATTGCTGAGGGTCTCAGTGGACCACTTAATAAGCTTTTTTTTGTTCTACAAGTCAAAGCACACAACTCATATTTGAATATCAGTAGTATTACTTTACAAGTACAGGTATTCTCGACTGCTCCACAACCTCTCTGTGGACCACCTGAAATGGAGCTTGCGGACTACTGGTGGTCCACAGACCACAGTTTAAAAACCTCTGCCCTAGATTATTCAGTTTAGCATATTTTGTTTTCCAAATTCTAACAAAAGCAGCTGCAAGAGAACAGATTTTTTCACAAGGCAGAGTGAGCATCACTGTAATAAAGACAGCTTTAAAGATCTTCATAATTTTGGAAATCAGGATGGGACTATTAGTCAAAATAAAAGGAACACCAATTTAAACTCTCATTTGTGCAATTCCTTTTGCTCCCATTATGAACCACTCTGGAAAGTACTTCTGCACCAGTGACAGTCACCAAAACTGAAGGTTTATTTAATTTATTTAAACTGTACATAAAAAAAGTTTAAAGACAGTTTTTCCTTTGTTTACTGGAACATCTTATATAGCAAGATGTAGAAGCTTGTTTTTTAAAAGGAAATTAATTGTAAAAACCACAAAAACCTGCATGGGAAGTCAGATGGAGTACATACAGGAAGTCATTTTAACTTACTTATCAATTGACTAGATTTCAGTTTGTGACGCCTCTTCATATGCCATGAAAGCGTAGTAGCTGAAAAGTGCCTCTGTACATCCGTTTTAAAGATGCCAAAGGATTTTTGCAACTTGAGAGAATGCAAGTAGCATATAGTAACTCATGTAAATCTACTGACACCTGAACAGTCTACCTACAGAACGTATTTACATTTGCTAAGAGAGAAAGAAATGAATGCCCACATAACAATGTCCCTATTATAGTACATAATGTGCTTGTGCCATGCCTTTGAACAACAACCACAGATGAAGCACAGCTTAGGAAGTCATGGGAACAGGGTGTGGGGAGCGCTTACAAAACAGCTACTTTCCTAGTCTTGCATTAACTTCCAAGGGCCACATCTCCTACAGTACCTATAGCTTAGTCCAGGCAGAGGGCTCCTTGCACTTGTGGAAGAAATGCCACCCACAAGGTAAGAATTTTTAATGTGGTTTTTAAAACATGGTTTCTACTGATCCTGAGTAAAGAGATCCTGGAGGTCCTCTATTAGGGATGCGAGAAATGTGCCATATTCAATTGAGATTCAGCCCGAATTGGGGACAGTGATTCGATTATTTGATTAGGATCACTGTCCCAATTCAATTAGGCTGAATCCGAATCTGAAGATTTGATGCCAATTGGGAGAATAGGCGATTTGGCCATAGACAGCTTTAAAATGTTTTTCTATGTACCGAGGTACCAGGCGCGGCTCGTGAACGCTGCGATGGTGGGGCAGATAGGAGTGTCCCACAAAAGGGTGCCATTTAAAGCTGCGTCTATGTCCAAATAGTCAAACTTTTCTGAATCTCTCCAAATAGATTCAGAGAGACTAAAGGGTCTCCTGATTAGATTCGGAGATTCGGCCACCGAATCGGGTCAAATCTCCGCCAAATTGAATCAGTAATCAAAGCTTTGCACAGCCCTATCATCTATGCTGCTGAGAGATTTTCAGTAAAGACAAAACCACAACAAACAAATATGGTTCTGTCTTCATTAATACAGACCATAAGGAAACCTTAGTTGAGATGAACCTGGATTTACTTGGAGAACTGAGGTCTTCCAAAGATTGAACACACCACATTTTTAGGTTTTCTTACAATGAAACCTTGAATAACACTAACAGTACCTTGAACTTTTGAGCTCCATTCCCAGATAATACCAAGTCCATAAGGGGTCATATCCTTCATGGCTCTTGAAGAAAACAGTCCCAAACTATTCCACTGAGCTTGACAATATCAACAATGATTCTGAGCCAAACTGTTGCTAGACGATGGATTAAAAGCCAGTGAAAACCAAGAAAACCTTTGGAGTTTCTCCTCCCATGAACAAATGATGTAATAATGTCCATTCCGGAACAACACAGTCGCATTTAACTCATTTTTTCTTATCCAGCTCATAAGATCTTCAAACAAAAACAGAAGGCAGGTGGAAAAGAGCAATCGGGGCATACACAAACTAAAACTGAGCTCAAGCATTAGGCCAAAGCTGGAATGCAAGGGTCCCCTGGTATAGGCAGTAAGCTTGCCTGCCAGAAGCTATGCAGTTGTGCAACCTCCGCAGTATAAACTGGGGGTAGAGGGAAGGGTTGATTTATAGGAAGGAAGTACAACCTCAACTTTTCTTTCTAGTGGACTGCAAGTTCCACAAGTTGAAATGTACAGTCATGATCTACAAAATAAACTATTGAAAGATTTTACTTGTATACTGTGCACTGAGGAGGAAGGCAGACAATGGTGTGATGGAATCTGACCTCCAATCCCAATTGTGCAGCTGCCAGCAGGGAGCCTGGGGTCCAGGTTGGGAAATGCTGGTCAGGAAAGAGACTCTCCCTACCCATCAAGTGCAAATCCCCAGACTACTGTGCCAGGACCACAGATCAGGGAACCTTTCCCCAGTTACAGGGTTCTGGGCCACCTTTAAAAACCTGTATGCAGTTTACAGATGTCCTGGCACATGAGACTCCCTGAACCTGGAGTCCTTGTATGCCAAGGTATCTAGGAGTGTACAGGCAGACACCCTATGCGCAGCCTGTTTATTTTTTAATATTCTGAGATCTCAACATGTGCCAGGACCTTAAAACCCATGCACATAGCCCAGTAGGGCTGCAGGCAGGGCTTTAAAACTTGCCAGCAAGAAGGAAGCTTACCTAGCAAACTGAATGTCCTGCCCACAGCTACAGTGGGGCTGCACAGCAAGACAAGAAAAGACTGCTGGGTATGGGCCTTCCCCACACAGGAACCTTGCAAGCTGCTCACCTGGTTGTCCATTTTCCCATTAGGATGGGAGCTGTCCTGGCAGTGACTGATATACACTGCACAATAGATGGAATGTTGTCAACAAACCAGCCACAGAAGTGTTCCACGTTTTATGGAATACTCTTGTGGCAACTTGGCCACTTTATGGAGCCATAAATCAAGTGAACATGTAGCACTGATACCATTTACAGTGCAACAGATTAAATCACACCATAAATGTAACGTGCCAGGGGCCTAAGAAAATACACCATACAGTTGAATTGCTTGTTCTGATACAAGAGTGAGATCAATCAGCGTATTATACAAGAAAAATCTGTCTTGTTAAAATATATTTTCTCCCGCAGCAGTTAAAAATCAACGTGTTTTATTACCATAAAACTGGCAGAAATTTTTGATATCCTAGAAAGGCAAAATGTGAATATTCATCTGATAAAGCAAGTCAAAATAGTATACCTTCTAAATTACAAACCTCACAGGCTTGCTGTAGATTTATCTGTTTACTCAAAGCACTTTATTTTGAAATTAGATCTAGTATTTAATTACAATATATTTTGAAAATGAATAAGAGGTCAAACACTGTTTTATTGAAATGCGCTGCATTTTAAATATCCCTTTATGACCATGTCAGTTACTAGTATAAGAGGCAAGACCTGTTAATTTCACTTCTGAGTTTAAAGTAGCCTTAAGTTAGAAAATGCTATCATCATTTTTAGTAGAGCTCAGTCTTTATAACTGATTTACATAAACACTTCTGGATACACACACTTTAAATGTACTTAAAATAGAACTAAATCTCCAAGTGGCCTCTCAGACAGTAGCCCCTGCTGTCACTTCTAGAACACAATGTAGTCAACCAGCACAGAATGGAAAGAGAATATTTAAGTGCTCAAGTGTTTACAAAGTGTTGGGTTTTGATTCAATTGCTATACTTTGCTTCCTGAGAGATCATTTATTCTTTATTATAAAGCAGTTAAGAAGTTGCGTGAGACTATAAAATCCATTTCAAATAAATTATATTTGTAGATATAAAATCTGTAGGACTCTTTCACTGACAAACAGTAATGCCACAAAGATGCTCTTTAAGACTGAGCAGAGTTTTACTGTACTACCAAATTTAACCAGGTTTTAAAAACAATTTAACATTCCACAGGTCTAAATTAAGATTTGTTTTCAAAATCACAAATCACCACATTAGTCAGAAGACATCTTTTACCTTAAAAGCTGGAAAGGCTATAGGACTAACAGCAAACTATGCCAAGCAGCTCTATAGCACCTACTAGCATTACCTACAGCTTTGTCACTTAAAAAGAAAAAATATGCAAGAAATCCAGACTGAATTTTTTTTTTTAGCTTGAAATAAAAGGTCCATTTCTAAGGGACATACATATTACATCTTCACACCAGCAGCTACTCTTGATATTTTGAATGGATGCCAATGCATTTAAGCTGTGGTCAGGTATTTTGACATAATGTATAATAATAACCTGAGCAAGTTTAAACAAAAACTTCAAGTTAACTTACATTTTGCTGCTACATGATAGTACATGCATGTCACAATGGCCTGTAATAACAGTAACTACAAGATCCCTTAATCCTTTCCCTTCCTTAAACCAGTGACCCTCATGAAGGCTGCCACAAGAGCCTTAAGGGGGACATGCAATATTAGTACAGTGGCATGTGCAAAGAGCTACACACAACTCAAAAGAAACCCAGAGATTTCAAAGAATTCATAGTGCCCAAAACATTAACCTGCTGTAGTTTCTCAATTCTTTGCAAGAAAAGAATTGTTCTATCATCTTCCCAGTCAAAACACAAGTGAAAGGTAAGATCTAGCATTTTCTGAGTATGCCTAGAGTCCAATGAGGTTGAGAACCACCGTCTTAAACTTTATATTGGTGCAATTAAGAAAGTGGGGCCTCGTTATAAAATTTGCAACCAAGGGGGGAAAAAACAGCACAAAACAATAATATTCAGAGAAAGGTGGCACACTGCATCGTAAGAACTGTAGTTTTGGCAAGCTGATGCCCCCATTCTTTCACAAAAGCCAAATCCATGGATAAAGTACATCTCCCTGGATCTAATGAGCTCTCTCCTCTGACAGTTTACATGACACCATAACAAATATTGCTGCCTAACTAACATTAAGAACACCAAATACTTCCTGGAAGGCCTAAATCTTTCTTGGAGGCTTCCAATCCAACTCCTAACTTAGTATGACCCTGTTATATATGTTAAGTGAAATACCTGGTTCACTAGGGCATTTTTTTTAGCGTCTTTAATGTGACATAGAAAACATACTGATACAGACTGGAAGCTATCTACTATCTAGCATAAGCATAATACTACAGAATATAATGCCAAGTACTTCAATAACATCTTATTTTGCAATATATATGATATTAAGTTGAACAAGCAAAAAGAAAAGAAAAGAAAAAAAAAGACTGCACTGAAGTGGTCTTTATTCTGCATATAGTACAAAGTGGGATTGTCCAAACTGGAGCTTACAGACTGAAGTCATTTATAAAACTAGGAATTTACCCCAACTACAGCCATGAGTAGCCATTGACCACACCACTTACATCAGCGCAAACCCTACTAACAGAAAAGCAAGTTACAATTTGTACTAGTAGAGCTCAAGGTGGTTTCAAGCAAAAAGTACCAGCAAAAGAGAAACAGCTTTTTTTCCTAATAAGTGGTGTTTGTACCACAGCATCACAGAGATCAGAGATCAACATAGGCTAATTCCCTCTACCAACTCTGGTCCCTGTACTCATAAAGCAAAGCTTCAACCGTTACCCAACATAACTAGTTTAAAGCCAGCCAGAGCTGACCCGAGCAGGGTGTGAGGCCCAGGACAAAAATCAGCCCATGCGGGGTGCCACCCCCACTCCAATCCCACAGGCCCCAGACCCAAAGATGTTGCCACCACCATTGACCAAGGGTGGGGGGAGGGAGGAAGGGGGTAAAGAGCAAGCTGTTGGATGTGGAGCCACAGCCCTGCTCTGCACCACCCCATAAAAAGCACGGGGGATCAGGGCAACTGCCCTGATCCATTCCCCGCCCCCGGGACAGCCCTGAAGCAAGCTAAGTTATCCTTTCACCATATTGAAGTCTTTTCTGCAACTCTAGCATGAACAGTGCTGTATTTTCCATACAATTCAAGACTGCCTCAAGCATCCAAACCCTTATAGCAAGACTATCACTTTATCAATCCAGTAGCCTGCATCTTTCCATACTAACTTAGGAAGATCCCTCATGTCAGTAGCTAGTTTAGTTCAGTTACATTTATAGTTGAAAAGAAACTTGCTTTTATTAAGTGTCAGGTTTTTATATCTGTCAAGAGAAATAAGAAGCCAGAGTGTAAAAGGTCATTAGACATGAGACTGAAACAGAACAGATTATTCAATTACCCTTAACTTCATTTTTAGCCTCCCCCTCCAACTATTATACTCTAAAAATTACTCACCCTAAATACCCAATATAAATAAGCAGAACCAATGGGATAGGCAGCCTGTTTAGAAAGTAAAGTGACCTATGCTGAGGTTTTAGATTTAAGCCTTTTCTTCTTTTAAACAAAGGGCCTTCACTATGAGAAGAAGTTGCTTTGTATGTTTGTAAATGTAACTGTTACAACGGAATATAAAATGTTTGTTCTGTTGGGAAGATTTTGGAATCCTCATTTCCTCCTCTCCCCACATTTAGATTTACAAGAACATACTAACCACTCTTCAATAAATTGATCATTCCTTTTGCAAATTCAAGTGTCATCTTAAAGTTTCCCAATAACATTCTATTTAAATGCACTGTGAATATGGAACTCAATTTATCAAGTGGATGGAAGAAAAATTCTGAACAAGACCCCTGGTGAGCTAATCAAGAGTCACAATAAAG